TATACATGGCCCTTCTCAACATAATACAGAAACAGAATAAAAAAGATCTAGGCTAATAGCATAATAAGTGGTATTTACAGTAACTTATGACACGCTCTATCTCTCTGCCAGCATCTCCCTCTCCTTCTCCTCCACACACACATCAAATACACAGAATATTTTATACAGTCCATGGCAGCCACAGTCATGTTTACATCAACAAAGTCACTAGGAATATAAACTCAATAATAAAAAAATCTAACATGTCAATAAAATAAATATTCCTCCTGACATCACAATACTGTGTGAAAAAAGTAAAGTTATCTAAGCATGAAGAACACAGACATCATTATCAGTCATTCATCGTGCTCTCTGTCCCCACTCTACCGAGGAGACTCACTGTCTGCAAGTCGGCTGCCTCAGGTGCATTTTAAGGTAAAGTGTTAGACTACATACAGACAGCTTTCATTTTAGTTTGTGTTTAACACTTTGCTGTTAGCCCAGCTAGCGCCCTGTGCTTTGTGTAAACCGCGATCGTAAACCATAATAGCGGTGAATTAGAGACCGCGGATAGAGCAGATTGAAATATGACTTTCTACATGTACACACATGTATTGATGAAATACTGACTTTTTTACTGGCCGAGGTTTTATTGCACTTACTTAGAGTAACAAGCGTAGTGGTCGTTAACTAGAGTAATCCTGAAGTCATACTCCCTACATCTGCACCGCGACCTCTCTGCTGTTGTCTGACTCCGTTGTGCTTGTGTGTGTGTGTGTGTGTGTGTGTGTGTGTGTGTGTGTGCTGTTTAGTTTAGTTTTATTTGCACATAATGTTAAAAACAGACAGTATAAAATTTACAAGATTAAAAAGGAAAGAGGTTAGAAAACACTAAAGGCTTATCAAAGAACCTCCCCTCAATTAAATCATACAATAAGGATAAGAAAGATAGACAAAAAAAAAAGAAAAAAAAAGAGGGGGTGGAGCAGAAGGAGAAGAAAGAGGAGAAAGAGGAGCAAAGAGGAAAAAAATCAAGACAAAACAAGACAGGTAGCAAATAAAATGAACAAAATCAATATAAGATTACATGTTAGACAATGTACAAACAACAAAGAAATAGTCAGACCAAAAGCAAGGACAATCCATACAAGATAAATGAAAATTCCACATTAAAGTTGATTAATTAAATACTTGTTCATTTGATTTTTGAAGATTACCAGTGAAGATGATGCTTTAAGAGATGGTGATAAGTTGTTCCAGAGAGATGGTCCTTTATAACTCAGTGAGAACTGAGCAAAGGAAGACTGTCTAGTGGGATATGAGTGAATGTCAGATGAAAAAATGAAAAAAAAATTCAGCAGCATGTCTGTAACAGAATTACAATACATAATATAAGGAAAGATTAGACTGTAGTACAAGATTAAATGACAAGAATGATTGGTCAGTGAACAAACTCTGCTCAAGATACCAATTGATTTCATAGTCTTTTTGCATACATGGTCTATATTTCCATGTTAACTTCTCATCAACAATGACTCTAAGAATTTAATATGAGGAACTTGAGTTATTTCCTTGTTGTCTAAGATAATTTTGGCATTTTCTTTTGAGTATTTTTTGTTTTTAGCACAAAAGAGCACAAAATTAGATTTATTTATATTAAGAGAGAGTTTGTTCATACAAAACCAATTTGAAATAGATGATAATTCTTCATTAGCTTCTCGAAACAGAGTATCAACTTTTTTATGTGATGCAACCAGACGTGTCTCATCAGCAAATAAAAGAGGTAAAAATCAAGTCATTTATATAAATCAAGAACAAGAGAGGTCCAAAGATAGAGCCTTGGGGAACACCACAAAGTGTCTTTGCTCTATGTGAAGAATGCCCATTAAATGATACATACTGTTCTCTGTCCTTTAAAAAGTTAAGCAGCCATTTCAAAGCAACACCTTGAAAACCATATTAATGTAATTTTGTAATAAGTATATTGTGATTGACTGTGTCAAAGGCCTCTGACAAGTCCAAAAAAAATACCAAGAGAAATGTTTTTATTATCTAAAGCAGTAGAAATATTATGAACAAGTTGTGTAATAGCCATTTCTGTTGACATTTTTTTCCTAAAACCATATTGGTGACAAAATAATATTTTATTCTCATCCATGTGTTTTTTTTTACTCTTGAATAAACCAATTTCTCAAGAATTTTGGAAAAAACTGTTAAAATGGGTATAGAACAATAATTTGTGTGTACACTAGCATCACCAGATTTGAATTTAAGAATTTAAGATCATTTGGAACAACTCCTGTCCTAATGGATAAAATATGTGTTAGAGGTTGAATAATGGAAGTAACTATTAATGCTTATAATCAGTATCCCAGTATAAGCATTTTACACGTGATACTAACATTAATTCTTGAATTGAAAGATTCCTTTGCAGGACATGATGAAATATGAGCCAGTCTTGTTAAGAGAATAGTTACTTCCATTATTCAACCTCTAACACATATTTTAACTTTATCCATCAGGACAGGAGTTGTTCCAGATGATCTTAAGGACACTGATTATTGAAGTTTTCAAAAAGATGACCATCCGTATTCTCAATTTTGTTGGCCAATGAAGGACCAATATTAACAAAGAAATCATTGAAACCATGTGCAGTATCTGAAGGATTAGAGATTTTCTTCTCACCTTTTTTCTGATTTTTTGTAGAATTCAATGTTAAAAGGGGTGGGGCTAACAATACATTTTTTATATAGTCTATTTTTTTTTTTTTTTTTTCACAATGGAGAATTTCTTTAGACCTGGAGTAATCCCGGGTTTGCAATTTTTAGGCTTATATTTTCATATTTTCTGTTGATTTGAACAAAAGGAAAGCATTTATCAAATACAGAATTAAATATGTCTATGAAGGTACTATAAGCACATTCTGCACTATGTTGATTCAGCACATCTTCCCATGAAACTTTATCTATTGAAGCTTTAAACAAGTTCTCATTTCTCTTAGTAAACCTGTGATAATATGTTTTCTCTTCTAGATTTTTTTAGGTTCATTTGAATTATTAACTAGAAAAAATTGAAAAATTGGGGCATCGGTGGCTTAGTGGATAGAGCAGGCACCCCATGTACAAGGCTGTTGCTGCAGCGGCCCAATTTCGACTCCAGCCTGTGGCCCTTTGCTGCATGTCACTCCCTCTCTCTCTTCCCCCATCATGCTTTGCTGTCCTGTCAATTAAAGACAAAAATGCCGAAAAAAATATCTTAAAAAAAAAGAAAAATTGAAAAATTGGAAAATGGTCTGAAATATCAGTAAATAATAACCCAGAATTGATTACATGTTCAAAGTAATTTGTAAATATATTATCAATTAAAGTTGCAGAGGAAAACTCAATCCTAGTAGGTTTAAAGATGAGGGGATATAAGTAAGATGCATGAAGAATACTCAGAAAATCTGAAAATGAACTGGATTCATTTTTTAGAAGATTGATATTAAAGTCGCTAAGGAGAATGCATTTCTTATCCTTGCTACTTCTCATCTTAACAGAGGAGGACAATGCATCATTGAATGAACCAGTATCAGTATGAGGGGGGGCGATATATACAGCCAATCACAACACTTTTACCACCAAAATCACTGAGACTAGGTAATTCAACAAAAAGAGATTCAACCTCGATTTGATCAAAATTACTGCTGAGCTCTTTTCTTTCAATAAAATGAAATTTGCTATCTAAAAAGATTGAAACACCACCACCATTTTGTTTGTTCTACATGAGTGCAAAGCCTTATAATGAAAAACTGAATAAAAAGATACCATTTCATCACTTAGTCAAGTTTCTGTTAGAGCAAGCACTGAAAATGTATGGTTTAAACTAGACAAATATTGGGTTAAATGACCATACATTTTTGATAACCTACATATATTTAAGTGAAAAGTTGAAAAAACATTATGACTTTGATCTAGAAGACCCTAGAGAATTTGGTAATTCTTCTTCATTGTAATAATTGCATAATCCTTGAGGCCTCTTGGAGTTAAGGAAGTTTACATCTGGATCAAAGCAGTCATTATACAAAGTGTCCACATCATCATTTAGATCATACGGATTAGAGGCATGAGCATCCGATGAATTAGGATTTAGATTATATACATCATTCATAGTGGTTTCACAAGAAAATCACGTGAAAATACCTTTTAGTGATGTGTAACATTTAACGGATGTAACAGACATAACTAGAGATATTTACTTAGGTCACAGAGGGTGCACCACAAGCTGGTCATATTTCAGGAATGCAATATTCCCCGTCATCCTCATCTCTCGGAGTTGAGGTAGTAGCTCTTTTAGTATGCTGCTCGATTATGGAAGAAATCATAATCACGATTTTTTTGGTCAAAATTTTAATCACGATTATGCAAATGATTATGGGACGCACATGATGACTTATATTGTTTACATGACGGCATGTCATTTCTTTTTTCTACATGGTCGCACGTTTACAATTCTCCTCTGCTCTCTGTAACGCGCATGGCCCTGATGCGTGCGCACACACACACACACACACACACACACCAACCTCTCTTGCTCTCTCTCTGCCATTTTCCGCACGCTGTTTTTGAAATCTTCAGCGATCACCTGCCCCTTACATTATTCGATTTCACCTACTTGACTGGCTTGTGGAGTGGATAGAGGAGAGGAGGGGAGGGGGCAGTATTGTGCATGCGCGGCTTCCGGGTGCATTTGATTTGCAACACAAGACAACGAGAGTAAACTGACAAGAAGCGCATAATCGTTTTATGTTGATTATT